GGAACCTCAGGGGGAACCTCAGGAGGAACCTCAGGGGGAACCTCAGGAAGAACCTCAGGAGGAACCTCAGGGGAACCTCAGGAGGAACCTCAGGGGGAACCTCAGGAAGAACCTCAGGAGGAACCTCAGGACCCTCAAGAAGGACCTCAGGAGGAACCCCATGACCCACCATCCCCTGGTGTCCCCTCCCACTCAAAATCCTGCTCCCAGGAGGGGACAAAGGACCCCCCGGGTGGGTTCATCCCTGGGATGATGGGAACCCCAGAGATGATGCCCCCAAGAGCAGCACGAAGGTCTCGAGGGGTCTCTGGATGTCACCAGGATCAGCCTGGAGGTCTCGAGGACCTCATGGATGGTCCCAGAACCAGCCTGGAGGTCTTGAGGGTCTTGGGGACCTCCCAGAGACCACCAGGACCAGCTTGGAGGTCTTGGGGACCTCCCAGAGACCACCAGGACCAGTGTGAAGGTCTTGGGGACCTCCCAGAGACCACCAGGACCAGCTTGGAGGTCTTGGGGACCTCCCAGAGAAGCCACCAGGACCAGCATGAAGATCTTGGGGTTCCTGTCCCCAAGACCAAGGTGGTGGATGGGGGAGCTGGGGAGGAGACGACCCAGGATGGAGACCCCACCACCTCCTCCCTGTCCTACCTGCCAGGACCTCCAAGGGGCTGAAGAGGAAGAGGCAGCAGAAGAACCTCAAGTCCATCATGACGAGAAGAACCCGGAGGAACCAGGGACTGGAGCAGGAAGGACCAACCCTGGGGCTTTTGTGTCCCCCTCCCCAGGGGGTGACGCGGCCCCGACGGGATCTGAGTCACTTTCTTTGTCTCCAGCCCCAAAAATAGACCAAGGGTGGGAGGAGAAAAAGGTCCTGGAGGTGCCACCACGTTGGGTCAGGCCACAATGGGCCCAACCCTGGAGAAGAAAGGGGTGGGTGGGGCAGGTTTCCCGGAGCCCTGATAAGATACGGGTGGTGGGAACCACCTTGGGGTGGGGTCAGCAGGGCTGGGGTGATGGATGGAGGTGGGGGGGGTGGTGGAGATGGTGGAGGTGGATGGAGATGGTGGAGATGGTGGAGATGAGAGAGATGGATGGAGGTGGTGGAGGTGGGTGGATGGAGATGATGAAGGTGGGTGGAGGTGGATGGAGATGGATGGAGATGGTTGAAGAGGATGAAGATGGA